CTTTCACCTCCTATGATGGACTCATTCCATTGAAATGTACCGTGATAGCTAACAAGACGAACTAACAATGGACCACTGGAAATGTGTGAGAAGCTCTCTTCTTGACGACCTATAACAATACAAACTTGAAATTGATAACGGATTAGCCATTTTTGTAATATTTCTTTAACTGACTAAACAAGCATTGATTTTTCGAGAGTTTCAATTGAAGTGTTGGAAAGCACTTTCCAATTTCTCCCAGGAGATACTTTAGTGCGTACAATTCATGAATGCAAGTCCATTCTATTACAACTGGATTAATGGGGTGTGCGATAGACTTACCTCCACGTGATGCACCCTGGGCAACGCATACACATACGGCAAAAAGTCTATTGACTGGCAGTTGACTTCTCACTTCCAACTACCATCACCTCACTCTATGCCATATTCGACTATTTTCACAGTACTCACCTCATCTTTGTTCTACCTTTGTTTTTGTCTCTTACATCTTTGAAATACTCTTCTGTCCCCCCCCCCTCTCGATTTTTTTTTCAATTTGATGTTCCTTTCTCTCTGTGAAGCCTAAAGTCAACTAAAGGGCTAATGATAGCCATCAAGACGCCTGCCATTTGATAGAAATAAATAAATAAATAACAATTGGATTAATCGTTCAATGATAAAACTTTCCTATTTCAAATATGCAAAAGCAATACTAAAGATTTATACTTTTCGCATTTAAGAAGTGACCGATTATAAGAATGCGTTTGTGATATCTTTGCACAACTGTTTGGCCATTTCATTCGCTTGTCTAAAAGTTTACGCAAGTATTAAAGAAGGACCTAAATATATTGAAATTAGCTTAAAGGTATGAATTGAATTGAAATTAGAATGAACTGAATAGGAAGGTAGCTGAAGATTACTAAAGGAATTTGACTCTGAGGGAAAATTTATCTCGTTAGTTTAAATGATATCCAAACTATTTACACTTTTGTCATTTTCATGAAGTTGGCAGATGATTTGACAGTTTCAAAAGGACCTTTTCAACGTTTTAATAGGAATTTGAAATTTGTCATTTTCCCTATTGGGACATATTTTTGGAATCACGAATTCAATTTCGGGTTCGGTTAGACAAATGCCAAACTATTTCTCTTTAAAATCAAAATTGAATGGAATCGGGTTTTGAAATAAAATGCTGTGAGTACAGCAAAGTGTCATTACTCAATGCAAGATAGTGCTCAAGTCTGTAATTCTCAACAACCAATCGAGGAAGATGAACTTTATGACAAAATACGAAATCTAAGGAGGTATTTAAGGTGGTCCAGATAGCGTCATGGAGGGCATAACACAAGTTACACTTATTGATTGTTCTAAACAACTGGGATTGGCTAACAGAAGATTCAATAAATGAGAAAGTCTTGGACACAGAATAGTTAGTGAGAGCTAAAGCGAAACCCCAGAGAGATATTGAAAGTCGGATTGTGCATCAATAATTAAATTAGCCGTTCACGATTAAAATTCAAGTTTCAGGATCTGTTTACTGGATTTAATAATTATGATTTGCCTTGTCACTTAGAATTTTTTCTCAGCAGGTTACAATCTTTGTATGTAATTCGACTGATACTAAAAGACTAGGGCGTAGAAATCGTATCTCTCTGAAAATTATATGATTATATAAGTGAGTAGATTTGAATGGCAAATATATATTTGAAAAAAATGAAGATGCCTAACACTCAGCTTATCATTTATTTCGAAATATTGAAGCAGAGTTTAAGCAATATCGATATTAAAAACTTAAATCTACTTGCCATTGGATCTTAGTTGCTTGTATGGAGAAAGTCTAAGGAGAAAGTGAGTTTAATTAATTCAATTTAAGTTCTGTATTGATTATGAACGATAAAACCTTTTTTGGCCAAAAATTGTATTAAAAATCAATTTTTCATCCAGCTAGAAAAATAAACTTGTAAGAGTCACAGGAATTTCGAGGAGTTTGGTGCCGAAACCCCAACTTCAACTTGGCTGGTCACGTGGAGAGTTGCCAGACCGTCTATCGATCTAGTGGGACTCAATCCCAAGAAGTAGAATTACGACTACTAGCTTTAGTTCTTAAAGTTCACTAGCTAAATAGTGCTGTAACCGTGTAGTTGATTTAATCAATTGAAGATGGAGCTGGTAATTTGGCTTTACAAATTAAATATTTCAATAGACAACTGCCCAACTTATAGGACTAGTTTATTTGTTCAGTGTTTGAGTGCCTTGTCTGCAATGAAATAATGCTATATATTTTTGTAATCATCGGCGCCTTTTGAATAAACAAATATGCATTACGAATATGCACCCGTGACAAAATGAATACAAATCACACAAGCGAAAAGCCCCTGAGTGATTTATTTTGATAATAGACTCTGCTCATTTTTAATAATTCAGACTGTAGTTACCAATGCACTTTTTAGAAGTCGTCCATCAGAACAAAATCCATGATTATAGGTATTTACGATCAGGACTAATATATAAAAGCGCGTTTATTAAATTTATTGCAATCCCTTTTCGGATAGGTGCGACCAAACAAGCTCTAAAAACCTAGTTATTTTGAAAAAAACATAAAATTTATACCACTAGAGCTTTTCGTTTACCAATTTGTATCTAGGTTGATATATGAGTTTAGTATGGGGGCATCAAATTTCATAATTGCTTGAGTAAGCAAGCAAGATGCCCTTATTTGTATTCGCTTTAATAAAATAATCCAAACATCGTTCAGTATTTAGACATGATGGCACATTCATCTCGGCATTTCGTGAGACACACCGACATTAACAATGTCTTAACCAATCTGCTACATTCCAAGTTTATTATCATAGTTACCATTCATTAGCTTTATATTCGGCATCAGGATTCATTAATTCCATGCACTTAACCCCACATGGTCGTTCAGTCTTGCCAAACCGGCAGGTTGGTAGCATCGCTGGAACTACAGGCTTTAGTCTCAACCCCCCAAAAACTATTTCAAACGTCTCTCTTTCAATTTGTGTGTGATTGGTGTTTGCCATTCCTCCTGTGTTCATTCCGCTCAATTATCTACCAGATGACCAGTAATCCCGATCAATGTGTCCGTGCTTTCTCATATCTTCGATGCCATGTCTGCCAGAAATAGTTTTCTTCTGACTCGGTACTTACAATCGTAATCACGGCCTTTCACAATCGTAAATTTGGCCAAAAAAGCCGAAAAAAACAGTGCAAATTGCCTTCAGACCTGTCTGATGTGTCCTTTGCATTTTTCTAATTTTATTCTTTTTAATTCATAATTTTTTTCTCAATTTCGGTAAAGCATACTTCGAACTTTCATTCCTTTTTAGATATTTTGAGCGTATTAGAAGAAACTATTGTAAAATAATAAAACATTAGATGAAGATGAATAATTTTGTCAAACAAACACTCTTATCGATAAATTAAGAAATGCAGCTCCTATTCAGGGATTCTTGGAAGTAGTTCAACCATTCCACATTGAAATTCTTTTCTGCAAATATTGCCCCTTTTGGGCGATTGTTATTTTATGATGCATCTGAAACTATTGCCGATAACTGAGTGCATTTAATTTACAGATTGAAGAAATGGAATTTGTTAGAGAGAGAGAGTCACAAATGGAAGACCTCTTACTTCACTATTTAAAAGTCGACCTTTCCTTCCAATCGAGATCTGTTTCGACAGAGGGGAAGCGGAGAATGGCTAGGTTAAAAGCTTAACGGAGGGTCTAGTCTTTGACTGAACTAATGGATGTCATGCTAATATGTTTGCATAGTTTCGTTTGAAAGTTTATTCTATGAATTTTGATAGATTTGAGCCATAACCCTGAGCTCATAAGCAAATTGGAAAATGAATCCGAAGCCCAAATATGAAACTCCTATGGCATTCAAATAAATGTTTCCTGTGAAAGGCCTTTTCTAAATGTTAAATAAGCTAAACAATTTTATTTACTATAATTATAATTGTAATGGTAATAGTAAAAATAAAAAAAAACAAGCCCATCCGTGTAGGGTTGAAATTTGAGGGGAGAGCCAAGTGGGTGTGCGATAGACTTACCTCCACGTGGTGCACCCTGGCAACGTATGCTCATACGGTAAAAAAGTCTAATAACCGGCATTTGACTTCTGACTTCAAACTACCACGACCCCCCTGGTTGTCATATTCGACCCCTTCCACAGTACTTACCTTTTTCTCTACCTTTGTGTCTGTCTGCCTCTTTTACATCTGCGAATTGCTCTTCTGTTCCCCACCCCTCGACTTTCTGCTACTTTGATGAACCTTCCTTCTGTGAAGCCCGAAGTCAGCTAAATGGCTAATGATATCTATCAAAACGCCTGCCATTTGAAATGAATAAAAATGTTTTACTATATTTGGTTTAGTAAAATGAAATTCGAAATGATAAGAATATTTTTGAGCATTTCAATGATTTCTAATACATATTCAGCCTTAATCACATTTTGACGCATTCTGACAAGACAATGCTCTCTGAATACATCATATGATCAAATTAAGCCACAGTCCGAAAGTCATAATCGAAGGAATTGGTTTGTCTAAATGCACCTTGCATTGACCTAAGAGCTATAGTCTAATTACAGTAAGAAGTGCAGCCAAATTGGGCTAAAATGTTATTCGATCAGGAACTTATTAGAGGTCACGACCTTGAACACTTTTAGTATTTAATTTGAGCTACTGATTTTCAAGGCTTGTGTTATAAAATTTTGCATTTCAAAATCAAACAAGGGTAATGAGTCCGTACATACAGATATATTAGAGAGATAATAATAATATATGAGCACATTTTTAATTGCATAGGCTACCATTTTTATAAAAGATTAATTTTCAAGGAGAAAATTGACCATCAAATGAAACTAATTTGCCATTTCATATGAAAATTTGTCAAGAAGCATCGATTAAAATGGAATTTTGTTAAAAATATAAGAATAATAATTTTTTGCTTCAAACAAATATGCAGTCTTTATAAAGAGCAAGATAGGCTAAAATTGTCATTTTAACCAATAAATATTTAACTGCATCTTCTTAATTGGCGCAAATTTTAAAGCAGAAATCTTACCGGCTGGTTGAATGATCTCATTACACGATCTTCTTTCGAGGGTGCAGTTCTGTGAATGTGCTACAATCTGCTGAAAATGCGAACATACTTTCGGAGGCATTATGGATGGGATACCATTCGCATGGTTGCACCTATGTGGTGTAATGGCCAGTATGGCCTGAGGAAAGTAGACATCCGAAGAAATTGATGGGGACACATTGGGAAAAGTCTGGTGAAGTGGGGATCGTTCCTTGTTAATCACCATGACCTCACCTTCGGGAGCTCTCATGTCCCCCCTAGGCATTGTGAACCGATAGAGAATGCAAATCACAATTGGATTAAGAATGAGCGGAAGGAGAACAAAGTTCGGCAGGTTCTTCAGAAGTGTAGGCGTAAAGGAGGTGAGATTTATAATAGGCATGAGAGTGGAAAGAAGACAAACTCTCGCAGGAAGACGTTTACAGTAGCAGAAGAAGAAAATCACCACAACAAAGTCGCCGATTAATGGAATCACAACCAGTAATATGAGCTCTTGAATATGCAGGCTTTGTTGGTGGACTTTCAGGCAGACGGAAATATATCCGGTGAAGAATATGCTGCCCTGGACAGATGTATTTGTGGGTTTGAGAGTAATGAACAAGGCAAATCCTGCAGCTAAAGCCCATGGAAGTGAATGGGATAAGGCTAAACATGCAAATCTATGCTGCTTTGATCGGATGCTTGATGGATGTGATAAATATCCGATAAGGATCAAGCACAGAAAGCAGGTTATAAGATCAAACAGAACGCAATAAAGAGTATCTGTTGTTATCGAGGTCATTAAGAGACACAGAACAGAGCTAAATTGCATTTGAGTAAAGTGAAAGTATGAGACAACCAAGTGGATGATTGCAAGTAGAATGCCTAATATTCCAATGTGTATTCCCACGCCAAGACAAGTTCGTGGGTTATTAATATAACTCCTGATTGGTTCTGTTTTGGGTTTTTGATGATTTCTATCTAACGGCAGTTTTTTTGAGCGAGAACGACTATTGTGCAATGTGGAATCATCGGAACTGAGAGAGACTGAACTGGAATGACTACTAGAAGTGTTTGACGCTATTGGTGGTGACTGAATTGTATTCTTTTCAGCTACTGGAAGTTCGACACTTGCATGAACAAGTTCACTAAATGTCTCCATTTTTATAGAATTGTCTGGCTTCCTTCTTCTTTTTCTACGAAATAGCCGCCAGCAACTGACAACGATTAAGGCGAAGTTGACAAGTATTGCAACAGAACACGCTGCTAATCCTAGATATAAACTGAGCATTTCAGGTGAACCTTGACTGTCAGAAATTGTGAAATTACTTGCCGGCGAGGATGTATACAGCGGATTATTATTGTGGGTAGTGGCGATTGCAGTAGCGGGTGTGGTAAGGTCCAGCCAATCTACAGCTGAATCTGCAAGTTGTTGATTCTTTCCTGGGAGGATGGGTTGAAGCTCGTAGGATTCACTGGCACGACCTTCCGGTGGTCCCGAGGGTAGGCGATAACGGGTTCCATTGCCAATAGCAACCAAGTAACCATTATCGTCAATAATAAACTCCCCGGACGCAAGAAGTGCGCTTATGTTGAGAAATCGATGATTTCGAAATTGATTAAATTGCATATTTGCATTGGCCTTTTACATTTGAAACCCGTCTTCTAACGTGAAAATAAAAATAATTTAACATTTTATTATTATTTAAATTGGATTGTATATTAAAATCCACACAATCAAATCGCACTTTTGCATAATGTATTCAACTGATTTAATCTTATACACTTTCCAATAATTTAAAATTAATCAATAATTTGTAAGCTGGTATTTGGCCTTCATTTGTGCAACTACGGTATATTGGATGGCAAAAACGTTTTCAAAGTGCTCAACGTGTATGGAGAATTTTTAATCTATTATATGTCCGAATCTATATGTAAAACTTTTGCGCATTTATTGTGGACTAAATTTAATTTTAAACCACTTTTATTAAAATGCAGCGTTTGATGCTATTCCACCGGAATCAGAAGTGTATCATCACAGCAGAGTGTAAAATTTTGGTTATAAAATTGCTATTTACACGAGTAGATGTCCCTTATGAAACGTTTAAATACTAAAAACACAAACCAGATAATTGTCGATTAAAAAACAAGTAACACGCTGATTTCATTGTCTCAAAAATGACTTCAAGTAACTTGATGATAATTATTAATTGAAATTATATTATTCCAAACATTTAGCACCCACTGTTTGGATAAAGTTTGTAAGAGTTATAAGTCGGTGCATCGTAAAACAACACTTTATTCGGTTCAAATGAAATAAAGGTTGTAATAAGATTTAAACCATTGAGTAGAAACAATTAAATTATCATTATTTTATTTGTTAAAGATCTCTCTAGGGTAAAATTATTATAAAAATTTTATAACGGGCTATGAGATATAATATGACAGTCAAATATGATTTTAGAGAATTTATCGTATAAATTATAATTCCTTCCTTTTAACTCTTTGATGTGTGTTCAACACTTTTTGTTCAATCTTATGCAAGCGAATTCATTTTCTTTCAACTCTCAGGTCAAAAATGTATTTATTGACTGAAATGGTTTGCCAACAACGTTAGGGAGATTTCAGAAGTTTAGGCTATTTTTTCCATTTCAATACAACGTTTAGACTAATTGCATTGGGCATTAACTTAACCGATATTTGTTTAGCTGCGTGTATAACATCTGCAGGAATCTATGTTAAATAGCTTTTTAATCGCACGAATAAGTGTATTTTTGAAGTCCAAATTTATGATGCTACTATCATAACACATTCTTGTAACTAAATTCTGTGCAGTTTTGTCTCGAATTAAATGTATTATGATTATCGAATATATCTATGCTACTTTTTATTGAATAAGTATATTACAATGCAGAGCTAATGATCATATGGCAGGCGTTTTGATGGTTATCATTAGCCCTTTAGTTGGCTTCAGGCTTTACAGAGGGGAAAGAACATCAAAGTGAAAAAAGTCGAGAGGGGGGATGGAACAGAAGAGTGTTTCAAAGACGAAGGTAGAAAAGGTAGAAAAAGGTAAGGTGAGTACTATGGAAGTAGTCGAATATGACATACAGTTGAGTCATGGTAGTTTGAGGGCCATATTATAAATATCATAAAGCCTGCCATTTGAAATAATAATAATATTACAATGCTCTAGGAATAGAGAAGGTGCGCTCATTATTTTCTTACACCGAAGTATTACAGCAAAGAAATTTAAACAATAATGATGAGTTTTAAACAAGTAAATTAGTATAATATCGATTCGAGTTAAAATCAGAGTAAAAGGACGACTCAGATGATACCAAATTTCAAAGAAATCACCTGCCCTATCAGTGTACGGTCTTAATGTATAAAGAGAGTATTTAGAGGTCATGACTATAGAGTAATATGAATAAAATATATTCACCAATTTGCTTTCCAATTTAATCCGTGTTCAATATACGCATTTTCTAATTTCAAGCAATTCTACATAAATCAAATAAAAGTTTTTTTTTCTCAAATTCCATTCATTTCGCAAATAGAAATCACATCTTAAAAATACTTTCAATATATTTATTGGCTTCTAGTTTAGTTGAATTATCCGTTATTTTTGAAAAATATCTTCCCTTCTTCTAAGGAGGTAAATTTGATTAATTACCCCATGGTTGATCAGTTGTTTTCTGTTGTTTTCCTCGATTAGAATTAAATTAATTCGTTTACACATAAACTGGTGACAAAAGTTGTAGAAACCAATTCTTTCAACTAATCCAAGGAAGGAACAGAAATTAATCAACAAGTTCCTCTTTGATGGGCAATTGTAAACTTAGATAGGGGAATGTCAAAAAAAAAATAAAATTTAACCTCTAATACATATATTAAAATTTGTTATCGAACCACTATTGAAGAATTGAATTTATATATTAATAAATAATTTAATTTCAAGTTATTTTGCTTATTTGATCAATGAGATATCCTTATTAATAATTTGGTTAGCTTGATGAGAAGGTGAAAGTAAATGTAACAAATTATGAAAATATTAGAAATAAACAAGGAAGGAAATTTTTATAAAACACAAAAAACATTGTAATTATTCTTATTTATATGATTAGCACTGTTAATGAGGAAGATTGAAATTAGAAATCTTTTCTGTAGTATATTTGAAACAAGATTTTTTCCAATTTTTAAAAAAAAATGGTAAATGTGGCAAACTGGATGGCAGAGCGCGTTAAGCGTCCCATCCATCAGCGAATAAAATTTTCGTTTCGAAACTAGATCTTATAGGAAAATATTATTTTTTTCTCCATATTTTATTACGTAGAGGGTTGTTAAAATCTCTTTACTACATTCTCAGTTATAAATAAATCATAAAAAATGATCAAAGGCATGTTGCTAGAAAACTGGCAAGCAAATAGTTCGATTTCAGGTTCGAACATTAATTAGTCTTGATTTTAATTGAATTATCATCGGAGAAAGTTAACGTAATTTCCTAATAAAAATATCTTTATACAGAGTAAATTTAGGCAAATATGATCAACTTGTTGCTCTGCAGAGATAACTTCTAATACTAAGCTCTAAATATGCACATTTATTGAGAATATATTAATATCCAAGCGTGCAGATTATTAAGCAATTTATATGAAATAAAACCGACTATCTAATTTCAAAAAATGAAAAGTTTATTCTTTTTACTCCAATTATTAATAATACAAAAATGTTAAAAATATTGTTGACTCACACGTGGCTTTTTTTAATGCAAAGAACATTCAGTCTACTCAAGCATTTAATGAAAAAAGGAATTAAAAATTCAAGACCACATTAAAAAATTAAAAGTTTTCTGTAATCACAAGACACATCATATCAAAAATTTTGCTCTGATCAGGGTGAAAATTTTGGAAATTTGAATGAAGTTTAAATGAAATATTCCTGTTTAGACCCCTGATACCCACAATAAAAAAATCGGCATATTTTATGCCATCGTGGATAATTATGGTATCACTTTTGGGAACTTGAGGTTAACAATACTTGATACGAAGGTTCATAGGCATTTTACATAATTAGACGAAGTGAAAATGCCAAGCAGGTTGCAGTACATCAATGAAATCCACAAGTCACTTAATAAGCCATCGCCCATTTGTATACTACCGGTGTAGCGAATTAATTCGTCAGAGCAAAAGAAGTAATTTAAATATGAGGATTAAAAATTTCAATGCGCCGTTAAGGTGATCATGTAATGATTTCAACTCGGAGATTGGAATAGCAAAATCTACGGTCTGATTTATGCAATTTCTCAATAGCTGCTGGTTGCCTTGAAAATAGTGAAGTTTGAAATTTGAAATCCAAAATCTGAGTCCAAAATCACGACGTAAAAATACACTTCAGCACATTTAGAAATGATAAAACAATGTCGTGGTGCTGTGTGTGTGTGTGAAATAAATTGACTTAAGGAACCAAAGTGCCTTAAATGCAACATGCTCTCGTGAATTCAAAAAATGGCTTCAATAATTTCAATTAACTTGATCAAAAATCCAGTCAATCCGTGGAGGAGGTGGGAGGAAGGGGTGAGGAGAAACATCAAAAATCAATTGACTTTAGAAGTCAGACAGTGATTTTTCTAACGGTGGATAAATAAAATAGTTAAAATAAGTGTTAATCTTGGAGGTTTTTGTTTTAAATGACCGAAATGAGTGGCAATCGCATTGATTTACAAGGATACGTGGCCGCAATTTAGTTGATTTTATTTTGAAACTTTAAGACAAACTCTTATGAGTTCTTACTTAGCTGGAAAGTAGACACCAAATGTCAACATCCATGTTTGAATTATTTGAGCACTCTGATTACTTGAGGTCTACAAATGCTCAATTTTAATCACCTATGATTTCCGTGTGCAGAAATACTTGCACTGCTGCTTAAATAAACACCGAAGAAAGTCAACGTACAATGAGCAGTTGTGGTTTTTTTTGAAAATTCACTAGATGATTAAATTTCATGTTTGGAAAGAGGGGAATCTTCCTGCTCATATTGAATAAATTTCAAATTTCTTGTAGTTAGGCATTAGCATGATCCCATTTTTAATTGTGTATCAATGATCAAAAAATTAACAAGGAGTTGAATAAAATAAGCTAAGTAAAAAATCAAATAAATTGATTATTACATGTGAAATCTGTACATTTACTTCAGAGTGTCTGCCCCATTTTGACCAAACACGAATGTTCGAACACCCCCCCCCC